TATATATTTATAAAAATGATTCTTACGTATAAACATTTACGAAAAAAGGGCATCGAAAATAGCGATAGAAAAAAAGCAATAGATTACGCAAGAATTACTTTATCAAAAGTATTTTTTCCATCCTCGCACGCATTTTCCGTCTAGTTAATACAAAATCGACTGTACAAATTTCTCGGTCAATTCGCAGTTATTTATAACGCAAATATGTGTACAAAACGTTACGCGGACGGTATTAAAAATTGTGTCGAGTTCACTCGTTACACTTGTTCTGTTTTACTATAAAGGCTACTTTCGACGCACCGCGTCGAGAAAACCAGTCATTTTTAGTCGGGCGTTAATATTATAATTATATCGTATTATACTTTCTATAGAATATTTTTAAAGATTATCGCGCGTTCATTCAATCACGATTCAATTAGAAACTACATCCGTGATTGTGCGAACATTCATGATTCTGAATCTCTGAGAAACACGTACATAAATATAATGTAAGTGCAATCTCATGGAAATCTCACAGGTATTTAATAATGAGCTCTACTTCGCATTAAACATCTTAGGAAATGTACTCTGCTACCAGCTGCTAAGGCAACTTCAAAACATTTCTTAGCTTTGTACCTTGATCAATCTATCTCAGAACTCGATTAGTCTCTCAATACATGATGCACTTGTAATCCACTTTAATTGTCATCTTATTTCTTAAATAGAAATCGAATCTTTCAAAAAAGATGTAAAAACTGGGATTGTGTTATTCTCGAATATCGATAAAATCACGTGCCCTTCACCGAGTGCATTTCATTCGTCGCTTATACACACAAGTCCTTTCATGTTTGTGACATTTTCGATAAGGATGTTTCAAATAGTTTAAAGAATTCTAATTTGATTTTGAACCCATTTGAAAAAAACGCAAATTACGAAGCAAACACTAACTTTGGGTGTCTTTTGGAACTATTCGTAGCAGGTCGATCGCAGCTTCTATGAATGTTGGCAAGATACAGTCTGAGATGGTAACGGAGGCGGTAGAGGCGCATTCTCCTCATGGATCATCACTAACTTGCCGTATTTCATCATTCTTTTCCTCTGTTTGCGCTGTAGAAATCAAACAAATCAAACATATATTTGATATAACGCGTTATATGATATAACATAGGTATTCCGATAAATCTTAATAAATTTCGCAATGTCTTCTTAATTATTGTTCTCACTTGCGATTCAGTCCAACTGCTGTTGCTGCTTCCGCTATCGCTTCCGCTTGACGTAATCCCATCTTCGAGAACAAGTTCAGTACCGAAACCTTCCATCTCCAGGTCCAGGTAGAGCTGACCCAGTTGATCATTGACCAATAGCGGTTGACTGAAGGTTTTCATCACGTCTAAGTCGGCTTTCAGCACTTCGTTCAGTGTTCCAGGATGCATCTGGTATTCATAGATCAACTCCGGTGTCAGTTGAACGCCCTCTAGCCAGGGTGGAGCCCTCCTTCGCATTCCCTGATGGCACTTGGTGTGCTCCTGCACATTTATTATGCTCATATAGTCAAATAAATGAATATTTAGATACCGTGAAGGTCTGAGAAAAGCATCTAAAAAATGTACGAAAGACTGAGACGTCTTTCAGCGAGACATTCCGCCATTTGAGTCTCTACCTCAGAAAAGACTTCGCATGTCTTCTGATCCGGATTGCAGCTGCTATCACTACTCTTGTATATGAAGCTGCTACTATAGAAGCTGGATGAGCTCGACTCATCCCCGTTGTAGTCAGTCAGCCGGCGATGTTCTTTTATGATCACCGGCGTTAGGTCTACCATGCTCGAACAGCCGCCGTCATTACTCACGCATGATGGAGACAATTCGCCGGGCGATAGAACCTGCCAGAGTCGTCGGTGCAAATTAATATCTTACTGAATAATCAAAGCTACTGAAGACATTAATTCCAAAACATCAATTAATTAATTTTATTAAAATCTCAATTATATAGAAAAACATTTTTTCAATTATCTTCTATAATATACAGTATATAGGATATAAGAAAAATTTGATACAGTCATTTTACCTTCTTGGAGGACTCAGACATAGCCATTGTGCTCCCCGACTCGGCCTTGATGCTGGTCGCTTGACTGGCTGGTCGTTTGCGATCCGGACACTTGTCGTTGGATGGCAATTGGTTCTCGCGTGTTGCCGCCGGTACTTGCTCGGGTATCAGAAAGGGTCGGTACATCATAGCACGTGGTGAAGGTGCGCCGATCACTGCCGGATAGATCATCCCACCAGCCATCGTCGTCGCGACGTAAGATACTGGAGCAAACATTAAAATTCTTTTATAACTTTCCATAGGAGACCTACTTTTAAATATGCAATTCAATTCTAATTTAATTCCAAGTTTTTGGAAGCATCTGTTTTAAAAGTGCTACCAAAGAGATTCAAATCTACAGGTCGCTTCGAGACATAAAACAATATTCAATAATAAGAATTTATTAAACTAATTTAAAAAATTTTTTTATTTGCGGTTATAGTAAAATGAGATACCTACTAGGATTTTGTTGACTCGATTGCGTTGATGGAGGTGGGCCAAGCTTCTCTTGCGACGACTCGCTGGGTTGCGGTACCGGCGTGTAGTACACCGGTATCATTGACAGAAGTAATGGAAATCTGGGTACAGCCTCCGAGTTAGTACTAGAATTTTTTTTTAATGCATAATTTATTCATAGATTATAATTATATTCTCCATTATTATATAACATAGTTTTTGAGATTTTTGTGGAACATTCGGTATTTTATTAAATGTTATCACTCTTTTTATAAAATGTTTAATATTAACGAAGTTAATATTTTATTCTACGTTATTAATATTTTAAAGCTCTTACTTATGAGGTGGAACGCAAGGTTTAGTTGGTGCGGAAGAGGGTACAGCCGACAATGGTGACCACAAATTAATATTCGCCCCCGTTTGTACCACGGTCGATTGATCGAGACTCATGCTGACAGTGGTTGTGAGATTTGCTGGACCTACCGTGCTTGTCTTCAAGATTTTATCATGTTTCGATACCTGTTTCCACATTATCGTCACATTTAGACTCATATAAATTTGAGTTAATACGCAAATCTACTCTTTT